TATTTCTCCTATTTATTAGTGATTTAACTAACGTCAACTCTTGTTACAAGTTTTGTTTTTGTCGGTGATTTAGGAGTGTGTGCAAAGAATAAAACTAAAATATAGTACTTGGAATTGATGTTCCGAGAGACATATCCCTCTCTTCTTCAGAAAAAGGTTTGAAAGTCCTCTTAGTCCTTCAGTAAACAAAAAATTAGGAAAAATTCCGTAGAATTCAAAATGGCGTGGCTAAAATTCGCATTTTCTTAAAACTTCTGTATCTTTAAAACGAAAAAAGATTTTTTTACGAAACTTTCAGAATATGTAGTCCTTGACAAGTAGAATTTTTGTAAAATTACAAAATATTTGATAGTTTTTGCAAAAATTGAGTTGACAAAGAAACGAGGTACCTATTTTCGACAATTTGAGTGGCCTAAATTGCAGTGTGAGTTTTCTGAATTTAACTACGCATCAACCCAATTTTTCCAATCCAGGCTATTTAATTTATAACAGCAATCCCTGGCGAGTTTTTTTTCGACACAAAAAAAGGACAACGATCTTTGCTACAACTAAGCTTTCGACATCCACATCACCATTATTAATGTCCCCAATTAGAATACGTCAGGCGACGAATCGTAATCGAATGTCCTTCCAAGGACGAAGCCGCATATCTCGACGCATCGTTTTCTAACACAGGTATGCGTTCTAACCTAGTTATCCGGTGCAAAAAATATAATTGAACGTTTGTCTTGTGCGCCTGAATGTATTATGATGGAGAGATATGCGTGGTTAGCCTCATTAGCATACGCCATTGTCCATATCTAACGAGTTCTAATCTTAAATTATTCGTTTTTTTCGTTCGTTGTTGCGCCTGGTTTATCGGCGAGGTACGTGCTCGAGTGCCGATTTTTAACAATGGACGGGCCAGGAGAGGTTGGCGCTGTCACCGGCGCCTCCGCCATTCTTTCGAATGATCGATCAATTTTATTTCGAGCTTTCGGATCATTGATTTTGCACTTTTTAAATTGACTATAACATTTGTGATCGGTAATTATTCATTTTATAAATAATTACAGTCGAACGTGAAATACTAACTACTCCAAACTTTAATAAAAACATGTGGAAAAAATATTTCAGAACAGTAACATGGTTTTGTCGCAAAGTAGTCAATAAACCTAGATTATTTTCATTTGCCAATGTTACATACAGGGTATTCGAGGAAAAAACGTCAACTAGATGCGATTTATACGGATTTTACAAAAGTTTTTGATAAAGCTAATCGTGACTTTCTTTTAAAAAAGTTGCAAGCACATTGTATTCCTCAAAACATTGTAAATTTATTTAAAACTTATATACGGAGTAGACATTTTGTTGTTAGACGTAACAGAAATACTCAGGCGAGTACCAATTACCAATTTTGAGGTGCCTCAGGGCTCTATCTTAGGACCATTGTTGGTTTTATTATTCATCAACGACCTCTTTCATGTTTGCTTGTATTCAAAGTGTTTTCTTTAAAATTCTATAGAAAGATTGAAACAGAGAGAGAATATGGCATTACAAAGAGATATAGGCAGTATTGCCAATTGAAACACCAACAATAAATTGCATTTCAATTTAAAGAAATGATGTTTAATTTTTTTTATCTAAAAGGAAATTTCATTCCAAATATTACAGATTATGTAAATAGAATATTAGGATTTATTTTATCAGTCAAACTGCTGCTCTTTCAAATATTCAAACGTTAAAAATTCTTTATTGTTTTTCATTAGTCAGAGTTAAACTTGAATTTATGACATAAACTCAAATTTATTTCACTGGTGATCTCAATAAATTGATACTAATATAGATTTTTCACATTCTCAGAAACTATTTCACAATTTAATAAGTTTTACATTACTACGTTTTACAATTTATAAATCAATTATAGTTCAAAAATACGTGGTGTTGTATTTGTTTGGTTGAACCAAGTAAATACAGTTTCAAGAGCAACAACAAGTAATTCCAGGCTCATTTGAAATTGAATTCGCGCAATGACTGATACGGCCGTCTCAGATCTCCTTCAAGTCGATAACTTATACGGTTTATTAAACTAGAACGAACCGTTGTAATTAAAAAAATGTCGATGAGTTTCCCGAAACGTTTCGCTCGAAAAATGCTAATCACCATCACGGCGATTAATAAGATGGCATGGATGTCATAAGAATGCGTCCGAAGTTGTTGGTTTGCTTGTTTAATTGATTTTTATAACTGAAATCGTTACACTCGTCGAAATAAATTAGGCCGAGCTTGAAAAATTTCAAAAAACTCGAGTAGGTATTTTCAAGCTATTTTTAAACACCCAGTATAACGTATAAGTTAACGGAAGTATTAACTGTCATTAAGACTTATAAATATATCATATAAGTCATTGACATTGGAATTACTAAATGTCATGTCCATTTAAAAAAAAACTTACTGTATGCCACTGTCTAAATTGGTAAATAACACGAATATACTTTCCCCAAAGGATTTTGGTGCGCTGAACTCGAATCCGAGGCACAAATTTCTCAATTGGCTTTGGTTTTCTAGGTATCCTAACCTAAAAGTACCAAAATCGCGATTTTTTGACATATTTGAGGTTATGTTGCGTGGAAAGATAATTGTTTTTGCTGAAACCATAAATAACTTCCTAACCTAACCTAACATAAATAATAGTTAATCGTATTTTACACATAAATTGTCAATACATTTTTAATCTAACTGTTCCTCGATGTGCAGGCCTTTTTGCTAATATCAGTGACAATTAAGATACGATCTAATTTTCTTATAAATTGTTGCGACGAGTGTATTTTATTTGTCGATTAAGAACCAGACCTGGAAAGATTTTTAATACTTATAAATGCACAGCGGCAGGAGACCCCAGTTAAATGCAAAACGGAATAAGAAAGCATCGTGCTTTGAAATATATGTCATTATTACCAGCGGCATTTTTGTACGACTACTGTTAACTGCGGTTACGTAACAGATATGCGATTACAAAATATCGAATATGTAATTTCTGTATAGGTATAGGTAAGGAGATTGAATTATAAAACGAGATGTAAAAATTAAGAATCGCTAAATATTGTACCTGTGTGACAACAATGTACAAGATTTTAAATATAATTTTCAGTCATAAATGTATATCTAATAAAATTATTTATTTTACGTTTTGCCATGCTTTTCCAGTGTAAAAAAATCTTCTAATATTATATGTTACTAGAACTGTCACAAGACTACGTTATTTGATATTACTAGAAACATCGGCAAATAAATTATATTGTCTGCAATTAAATATGTAGTTACATTTTATTGGCCTCACCCTCTTTTGGCATTAACGGTAATTAAAAATTTATTTGTTTCTAATTGATTAAGTAGGCATTCATTCGAAGTATTGCTGTTATTTTTATTTATTGCTAATGGTTTAGTCATTTGAAATTATGTGTTAATTTAATATCGCTTCTAAAAATAACATATTGAAAGACCACAATACGATACTGAGTACTGATTTTATCTTTAAGCGACTGTTTTCTTCCTGAATAGTTCCTATTAAAAATGATTGTGTGTTGTTTCTTATAATTATTGAAATAACCTAAAAAAATGGTGGTATATTTTAAGATTTACTTACCTAAATAAACAATGTATTGCATTAAATAATTGTTGGTGATTTGTGGTTGTTACTTTTTTCCCTATTTGGTCTAAATTCTATTAGAAAAAAAAAGTATTTTTATATATTGTCGAAGTTTCGTTGTTTTTATTACGACATCAACAAATTTATGTGTTGAGCTTTGTAAGTCAAAAATTGTAATTGGGTACAGGGTTGTTGGTAATTCTATACATTTCTTTGGGAGGCGATGGAACAGGAGATGAGGGGTAAATTTAACCCTAACATGCGTTATGCAAAACAAGCGGTTTTGCGATGTTTCACATTTAATTTTTTTCTCAAAAACATGTGTCGTTAGAGTTAAAATTTAAAAATCTACTTGAATTTTTTTAACTTTTAACTGGATTACTTGTCCACACTATAGGCTTTCCTATGGACTGAAAAATTATCCGGAAACATTTCGATGATGTGAAAGTATTGACCAAAAAAAAATAATTTTAAAAAATCAGCCATAAGAATTTCTTAGCAATTATTTTTACAAAAGAAAATCATTATTCCAATAGCAATCTAACAAGGTACAAATTTTCAGTAAGCGTAAGACCATAGTGGTGAAATAAATTTGAAAAAATGTAGTGTAGATTTTTCTTTTGGAATTGAATCTACTTTTTAGAGAAAACATTAATAATTGAAACATTTCAAAAACTATTGATCTGCATCAGAACATTTCAAATATAAAATTGAGATTATTTTATATATTTCAAATAAGAAAATAAAATAGTTACTTACAAAATTCAACACAGTGTCTTGAGAATGTCGTAATAAAATGAACAAAACGTTAAAAAAGTGTAGTATTGTTTTTTGTTGCTATACTTGACCTAATTTAGATAAAAAGAGGGAAAAAGAATTATATACTTTCGAACGAAATTTAAAATACACATTTCGATAACCAATTTTTTAAACAATTAAGGAGTGGTAGTATTAGTTTTATAATTATGAGAAAAAATAAAACTGCAGTTTCTCTAAAAATATAAAATATATTTGTCTCGTAAGGTTCTGATATATATACTATACAAGGCACATACTACGTATTAAAAAAAATAGGATTAACATGACTGGCTTTAAGCGAAAAGTCATGAGAAAATATTGCTAGTCGAACAACGACCTCTCACGTAAGTGTACATCTTAAGGCACGTAAAATTTACAAACTACTCTTAAATATATGTACGTGTGTATAAAAATACAAAACCCGATTTTACAATACTAAGTATTGATATAACTTACAACGAAGAATAAATAAACTAGGAAACCGACAGAACTACGAACGGATTTCAAATTAAATCACACTTATTTTAATTTAATTAATTTAAATTTCATAAAATCGAAATACTTCACTCAAAAAATTTTATTTTCGTGGTAATACCAATCCAAAATTTATATTTTGGAATTTATTAAAATATAAAGTCTGAATTTAAGTATCTTTAAATAAACTTGAATATAACGCGGTATTCGTAATTTTGCCGGCTTTTTAAAATTACAATTTATAAAATATCGGACGGAAAAAAAAACAGATCACATAGTCATGTTAACTGAAATCCGAGAGAAACGGGTCGAAATGCGTCAAATGGTCCGACAGATCGGGCGACAGCGGCGTAAAATCTATGGGGGTGAGCGAGCTATCCGCGAAATCCACGGAAAAATCCGGCGGCGTAAGCGAATGATCCGAAAAGTCACTTTGAAGAGGTAGAGATTCACCATCCGACTCCAAGAGAAAACAATCCAGCTCCGAACAATCCGAGAACAGATCCTGGGAAGAATCAGGGTTCGACAACACTGCACTAAGGGTGGAAATGTACTTCATGGCGAGCCGCAACGTGGTGATCTTCGTCAGCTTCTCGTTCTGCTGCTGGGTGGCGGAAATCTGGGGTACTACCTTCCTTAAGGTTTCGAAAGCCTGGTTAATTTCCCTCATCCTGCTTCTCTCCCTGGCGTTGGCGGTTTTGCGGCGGTACTTACTCAACGGAGCGGGTTTCTGCTTGGGCTTGGTGCCGTTCCTAGACTTGCCGCCGGGGAGGGTGTCGTCCTGGTCCTCTACGTTATTCCTCCTCCGCATGGACCTGGGTCTGAGGGAGTACTTGTCGCCCCTGGGAGATTTCGAACCGTTGTTGTTGGTGTCGGTGTAATCCAGGGGCAAACTCAGGCGTTGCGAGAGCTCGTCGTCGTACTGCAACATGGTTTGTTGACAGTTCTCACGGGGATTGCACACCTTCGCGTGTTGTTGGTTCCCGTCAAACACACTCGTACGTAACGCGACTGTCGTGGGGCTGCTGCTCCGGCCGAGGATGCTGTTTGGTGGACCGCGCGACGGGCACTGTTCTGCGCTAGTCTGGGTCCTTTCCAGGCAGGTAGGTTGAGAGAGCCGCGGCAAAGGCATCTCCCACTAGTCGCGGGTCGTTGGGTTACTCCCGCGCCCGGCGTCGCGGGGACGAAAGAGGAGAGGCGCCCTTTGTCAGATTTTCTCATAAAATTGAACACAAGTACAACTAAGGGTCCTTCAATTTTCTGGAGTTACGTGTATTACAAAAACTATTAATATTTTGTGAAGTTATACAGGGTGTATTTAAATGGAGGGGCACAAATGATGCCAGAGTGGGTGAAAATATGTCGATTTAACCTAACATACCTATATCCCAAATCGCATAGTAAAAAAGATACAGGGTGTCAAAGTGAAAAATAAAAAATAGTTTTTCCTTAATAATTTCTATAATTTTAGTCAGAAATGTTTCAAATTTTGAACAGAGGGGTTTTTTAATGATGGGAAAAATAATGTAATAATGATTTTTGAGTGTCGAGCACAAGGCGCCCTCTGCAGGCAACGTTATGCATTGAATATGTAGTAACTTTTTTGCCAACCCCCGTATATAGCTTTTAGTAACAAAATATGAAATATTGGACTTTTTTAACAAAAAAGGTATACTTACTGAAAATAGCTAAAGCCAACCGTTGAGGAGATATTTCTAATTTCAAAAATTAGTGCAACGGATTTATATCTCCACGAATACTAAGGTACAAACAGACACTTTTGTTAATAAATTCAGAACGCATTGCCTCACAGTACTTATTAGTTGTGTATCTGTATTTTAAAATTCGACCAAAAGGGGGCGCAGGAATCAACTGAGATAACCTTATTTTTCTTGTTTTAAATTTACTTTCCCCTTTTTGCGTATTATTTTACCATGTGCGAAAACTCTTGTTGCATAATTTCTATTTAATTGTTTTTTTGGTGCATGTGAAATTATTTAAACCCGGCACTAAAGAAAACTCATATGAAATAACAGTTCAGGTGAAAAAATATTGAAAAAATCTTATTTACTGTTAGTTTAATATTAATTATTAGAAAAAACAACTAAAATCAAGTCACTTAACAACAGTCAATAGATAATTTAAGAGATCCAATTGGGTGACAATAAAAAAAAACAAGATTTTTTTAAAGGATAGTCTAATTCTACGATTAAAATTACGATGAACTCTTGAAAAAATACGTGTCATTCTTTACTTCCTCAGCTGCTGCAAAAATTCTTTGACGAAGCATCTCCACACTATCAATAGGATTGGAATAAACAACATTTTTTAAGTAGCCCCATAAAAAATAGTCCATGGGTGTAAGATTCGGTAATCGCGCAGGCCATTTGACTGGTGCATCGCAAGAATAAACGGACCAATAAGATAATCGCCTACGATACCCCTGCCCATACATTTAAACTAAAATTATACTGAAATTTGGATGTACAAACATGGTGAGCATTTTCGTCAGACCACGAGTGATTATTATGATGGTTTACTAAACCATGTCTTTGAAATGACGCTTCATCACCAAACAAAATACTGGATAAAATATTTCTTTTTCGATTTTTTATTAATTTTACTGGGTATTTTGGAAAAATTTTTAAAGATTAATGAAATAAATTACCCTTGAGCCAAAAGAAAGAAACTCAAGGGATATTTTTATTAAGTTTCGCATCACAGATGACGACATGCGTAGCTATATATCTAATCGCAGTGACGATCCAATAATAGTCAGTAATCTCATACCAAAATGTGATAAAATCTCCCACTCTATTCGAGTTATTTTAACAACACATTTTTTTTTCAAAACCCTATTATAAATACCCTAATCCTTTCGTTCGCTCTACGTTTATATCAATTACAATTAATTAAGACGCCTCCTATTAATTTTAATGACGGACTTAATTAAAAATATCCACGACGGGGGTGGGGAGGGGAAAGTGAAAGAGAGATCGACTGATTGAATTGTCCGAAGAATAATACTTGTTAAATATTAGGCAACTGATCACATCAGATACGAAATTTTTCGATTTAATTTATTCATTAGAAATTGTTTATTCAATTGTTTTGATCAACATCAGTGGCGTAGTTTAGAACAAATTTAAAACTACCATAGTCCTTTGAGGAATCGTAGAAAAAAAGAGATATTTGTTGATAATCCTAGGCAGCAATTCATTTCGTTTAATTTGTGGTAATTGACGGAATAAAAAAATGTAAGGCTGTGAGAACTGACATACTATCAACAGTCGAATGCGAAGCGAATTAGATAATTATTTGTAATTATATGAGTATGTCTGGGAGCGCACCTAAAAATTCTTCATCTATAATAAATTGTTCAAATTAAGGCTCTGGCAAAAAGTTAAGCCACATTGGTAATCGCTTATATATAACTATGTAGTAAATTGTATATTTAAATTGTCCTTTTTAAATATTTACGCGGTTATTTCAGTAATGATTATTAAAAATTCCTAGAAAGTTTTTAGTAATCCTTCCGGTATTTTAATGGCAGTTAATAAAATGATTTAACACTATAATTTCGAAGAAAACTTAATCCTCGTAAACTGGATTACGAATGTTTTCTCAAGTATTTTAATTAAGCAGGTCAGTGTTAGTTATTCGATAATTCCTGTCAGAGATATAGGCAACCAGTTATATAAAGCTGCGTATTGCTGGTTGCATTGCATTGGATCCATAATTAACTTGAATAAATTAATAAATACATACAGTGAATCCTTCTACAGTTACAGTGATAAAAAATAGATGTTAATATTAGTGTTCAAAAATAATATCTATTGATGAATTTTAAGCTTTGCAGAAATAAAATTAAAAATCTAATCAATAATAAAACTCCTAAACAATTTTTTTATTCAAGATTGAGGTAAAACTGTTATTTGACTTAATTTGATAAGACATTTTGTAACAGAAACAAACAAAATTACAAAAATCTCCCGCTTTTCCGCGCAATCTCGGAATTGCCCCATATTTTCTGATGACGCTGATGGTTCCAGCAACGAGTGCAAAATGTTGCATCAGATTCACCCAGGTCTCGGTTTGGAAACAAGTGGCGAGAGATACCCGTTATCTCTAAGAAGAACGCGCGACAGAACTTGAGTTTACATGACATCAGCAATATTTCCAAGTTTTCATTAACAACAATAATTAACGTGGCAGAACCCACTTCTAGTATTGTGGAAATGTCATCTTTTCTAACGTCAGGCATGATATAACGAGCCTCTTATTGAAAAATTCCAATACGAATTCACCAATTCAAGAAAAAAATATATCGAATATTTTTTACAAACATTAAATATTCAAATGCATATGTAAAAAAAATGAAATAACCTCATGAAACAATTAATATTATCAATAATGGGTAATTGAAGAGAAAACAGTCAATTTGGCTTCAAATACTAAGTAGTCTGTGTGAATTGCGATATAGATGTTTTTCATTGATTAAATTTTTACAGAATTGCCAAAATAAAAAAAAATAAGGTTAAGAATTTTTAACAGGTCACCATATACAGGATGATTCACAAATGGTGACCGTTTGGTCAAACCAACCAACTAAAAACACTTTTACTTAAATGACATGACAAGCACTAATCAATCGGTTATTTATTCGAATAAAGAAGTTAATCAGTCATCATTTTAATGATTTTATTTGAGTAAATGCTCAAAAATATCTCCATTTCCACCATCATAGCCCCCACATCTTTTTAGTAACGAAAATATAATTTGTTCGAAATTTATTGTTGCTTGAATCTGATGAAAAACATTATTTATTAATTTTTCTAACTGCTCAGAATGTCAAAGTTGCTATCGCAACTCACTATGTAATTTTTTAAAAATTAAAAACATTTTTTAAAGTTTAACACCCTGTATCTTTTTAACGAAGCGTCCTAGATCAAAATTTTATAGGAAAAACTCGCCTCAAAATTCACCAAATACGAGGTTTCATTTCTGGTCACCATTTGTGAATCACCCTGTATGTGTCTTTTTATTTATATAATTGTAGCGATAACTGATAACATATGTAAATCTAAACTCAATCCGCTACAAACTGGTTTCTATCATTACGAAGTAGTTCTTTAATCTGAAATTAATGTTTATTTTTTTTTAAATTTTGGACATGCTCAAAAAACCATACTTTTTGTAACAAAAACAAGAAAATTATTATCCGTGGCTTATAACATTAAGTTTACAATAACTACAATGACTTTCCTTGAATTTTCGTTATGGAAAATCCACATCTGACTCTATTTAACTAGAAATTTGTTATAATTTGTTTGCTAGAAACTGTATATTGATCAACAAATACTTAAGGAATAAATACAAACTTTAAAACACGGAAATCGAAAAAGGAACCTTGATAAAAATTTCTACCGGGCGTTAAACTAGAACAATCACACAACACAATCAATAAAAAAAAACTCTCGAGCACGATGATCGGAACTGAGATCCAAGTTAAAAAGTTCCTAGTTTCCTAGTATTACCTAGTGTAATATTTTATTTAATATTTAGTATAACATTAACAGCAGGCTTACTTAAGTGGTACTTGGAGTGTTTTTAATAAATCAGTTAAAACAAACTGTAATGATAATAGAATTTGCAGAATGTGTGACGAAACACGTAAATTATCGCCGATTTATTATAGAAAAATAACAACAAATCTAAAAAATATCACGTTTATAAACAAATTAAAGCAAAACTAAACGGTTACGCGGGTCGAGGATGATGAAACTTCACATTTTCTTTAGAGATGCTCCCCCCCACTTTCGAGTTCGTATATAATACCGCTACTTTAAAAACTGAACCATCGTAAGACATACATCACAACATCACATCCAAGAACGTTTTTCATTGAAATAAAAGGTTAGTGACTTTTGTATTGTTTTTTATGTACGTGCTATATTCGATTGTTTTATAAATGTACAATATTTTTATTCACGGACGAGCGTGTTTAAAACCATCATAGCATAGTCTAACATATTTTTTTATAAAATCGCATTTACTCAAACGCAACATTATAGAGTACAAAAAATATATATTTTTTTAAATTACCTACTTCAAATGAACTAAACAACTGAATACTAATATATTGCTCTGCTTCCCCCGTTTAAATATCTGACATATAAATTAATCCTTGCAGATATGGCTAACAGCAACGTGATAACCACCAGGTCCTTAGGGACGGCATCGGAGGGTATAAAGGATCAGTACGCGGACGGGAAAGCGGCCAAAGTATGGGAGATATTTATTGGTGACAAAAAGTCTAGGACGAAGAATTACAAGAACTTCTTGGTCGGGTTGTTGAAGAGCAAGGGATGCAAAAGGATCTTGGACGTCGCCTGCGGCACGGGGTAAGAAAATTAAGAAAAAGTGTAGAAAATTAACGCTTAAGGAGCGCGTATTTCTTCGTATTTTGCGAAGTGTTTTTTTACTGGATAGCAACTTGCAATTAGCGACCGATTGGTCGATGTTTATAAATTACACAAACAAATTGCAAAATCATCATGACGTAGCAAGTTTTGATCTCTGATTTCTCAAGTTATCAAATGTTGTGTTTGTCTCTGACCCCTAGCTTCAAGGCCAGGGAATTATGAAATTTTTTAAAATCCTAAAGATTAAAGCATAATTTTTTAAGCAAATATACCTTCCAAAAAAAAATTATTCTTTTTTTGTTCTCCAACTAGTTTTGGCTTCCTAGACCAATTGTGGTAGATATGAGTGGCTAAATTGAACTTTTAACAATTAAAAATCATCAACAAATCTTATTAAAGCCTCTCAAAAACAATATTAGAAAAAATTGTATTATAAATAACAAGCAAATTTTGATTATCAATTACTTCTTCAACAGAATTGACTCTATCATGCTACTAGAGGAAGGTTTTGAGGTGGTATCTGTAGATGCCTCGGATAAGATGCTGAAGTATGCGCTGAAATCGAGATGGAACAGAAGAAAGGAAGCAGCTTTTGATAATTGGAGTAAGTAGCATATTTTTACAAATTACATATGCCACGATTGTTTATTCGTCCTTTCGATGTGAAACACTAAAGATCAATGAGTGCTTTTCCCTTTTGAAATAAGAAATTAAAACATGTCAATGATGGAATAAAGGAATTTTTGGAAGTTGGAGACTAAAATTTAAAATACGACACAATGACACAAATTAATATTAAAGCTTTTTATTTTAAATATTATCGTTTTGTAAATCACATCTCAAAAACAATGTTATCAGACTATTATCCTCAAACTGTTTAGGTATTTATACAATAGATAAATATTTGACCTTGCCCTTTGCATAATTATGAAACATTAATTAAATATGAAGTGATATGATTACATAACACATTTTTCTTTTAGTTATCGAAGAAGCAAACTGGCTAACGCTTTACGACGATATAGAAGACATTGTCGGTAATGGATTCGATGCCGTCATTTGCCTCGGTAATTCTTTCGCACATATGTTAGACAACTATGGCGACCAGAGGGAACAAAAGTAAGCAAATATGTTCTTTTTAACTTACAGTGCTAAACACATGATTAATAACGATAACGATTCTAATAACAATTAAATCTATTGCAGACAGGCTTTAAGGAACTTTGAGAAGTGCGTAAAACCGGGAGGACTTTTGTTAATTGACCACAGAAACTACGATAATATCATTGATTCGGGAAGCACGGCGTCGAAATGCATTTATTATAATGTAAGTTTAAAAAGTTGCGATCAGATTTGTCCACGTTAATATTAATTTCCACTTCCAGAGCAAGCACACGACAGACATTAAAACCTCAGTATTATTTGTCGGCGGGCAGCCAGCTCTCGTCACTCTAGACTATCTCATCGATACATCGGCGCAAGACGACGATGAAAAGACTGATATAATTAGTGGCGAAGATACCATAAGGTAAGAGTTTGTTTCAAAAGTTTAGGAAGCATGTAACGATAGTAATTTTTTTTTTAGCGAATTTCGGTTATCGTACTACCCCCACCGATTGAAGGTTTTCAACAGGATGCTGAGGGACGCCTTTGGCGAAAATTCTGAATACAAGATATACGGCGACTTCAAGAGCCTGGACGAGATCGAAACGCCCAATTTCTACATTCACCTTGTAGAGAAATCGAGTACCTTCTTCTAATTGTTAATAATTTATTTCCGTATTTATAAGAATCACAAACTTTTAATTTTATTAATACATGTATCTGTTGTTTCTTGTTTTTTATTTCTAACTGAACAAAAATGTCGAATATGTTCAAGGCTACTACCTTAAAAAAAGGTTGGCTAAACTTATATATGAACTGAATAATAAGATATATGCAACTATAAATTTGTATAAAAAACTTATCTATATAAACTTTTATTCTCCAATTTATCGCCAACACCCTTGTTTAATCAACTAGTCATCCAAAATATCATCTAGCCACTTTTCTAAGTCCTCCTCGGATGATTCAGTTTCCTGTTTTGTTTCTAAGTTTATTAATTCGGACACATTTTCATTCTCTTCAGTTTCATTTGTGGCTAAATCAGTAACATCTACGTTTTGATTTTCATTTACAGGAACAGAATCATTGCCAGTATTTAAATAAAGATCCTCAACTTTTTCTTCAGTTCTGTTGGAATTATACTTTTCACTGTATTTAAGCAGACTATTTTCTGCACTTCTATTCATAAAGCTTATCTGATTTTTCTGAAGGAATAATTATTATATATTAAAAATACATTTACAATACATACAAACCACAACTTACTGTAAAATATTTTTCGTCGATGCCGACCCTTTCATAGAAAGGTACCGTAAGTATACTATGTTTCAACATATTTAAATCTAAGGAAAACAACTCTTGCGGGGTCTTTTCTATTTCCTTTGCTATAACTTTGTCCTGTTTGAACTGAAAATGTTGGCCCTGTGCGATCGGGGCATTTGCCAGTATGGAAAAGTCAGTACTACTAGTTAACTGAGGGCTTTGAGAATCATCCTCTGTCTCGTAACGGTCCCAGTTCGACCCCAGATTACGTTTCACTTTAGGAGGAACATGCTTGGGATCCTTTACCGATTTAGCTTTGTATTTGTTTTTATCTTTCTGGTGTTTCAAACCTCTAAAATATTTAAAATAACGGTTTACGGTAAAAACATTTAGGTACTTACATACCTGCTTTTATCTCGACCACCTAAACTGTTGTCATCGTTTCCTCTATCCCTGGGCATTTTAATAAGTTCAAAAATAACGCCAAAACGCCATAATAAATAGACGTCAAATTATAAAAAGTGGCTACTTGACTTTCTACCCATATAAATGTAAAGTGATCAGGATCAGATCATATTAGATTACCTTTATTTTAATATAACATAACGTATAAAATGTTAATTATGTCAGAAAATTATTACAAAATAAAATTTACGGAAAGGGAAAAGTAATATTACTGCCAATTTATAATTTCCTATATTTGGTATGTTGATTTGCTGTAATTCCGAATATATATTATAAGAATATCGTTGACTGAAATGAGCCAGGCAGACATGAGCATAGACAAAAGAGCCTAGATAAATGTTACTAGATAGGAAACTTGAACAAATTTCGTGATCATTAACAGCGCTAACTGTTGACACTTTCTCCAACTTCTATTGCTTTCCTTTTCTAGGAATTATCGGTAATACAGTGAGTTAAATTACCTTTAGCCAGTAAAAGATGCAAGCGCCATCTAGTTGTACGCTCTACAACTATATACCTACCTACTCAATATTTGTTTTAGGTATTCTGCCGCCGCTAAATTTAAAATTACATAACAAATCTCACCCTACACAGATCACTCAGAAATTGATTTTGTAAAATAATTTTCACGTAGATAATTTTTTTTGTCACCATGAGAAAATAAGTACATTTGTACTGTGTAAAAGCATTAAAATCACTCAAGCATTAAAAACACTTTTAAATGCTCTAATAGTCTTCCTACTTAAAATAAGAAATAATTTTGATACTGTAACTTTTTAAAATGTTTGTTGAAAAAAATTTCAAATTTCAGTACATATTTTGAAAAAAAAAGAGTGAAAATGATTATAGAGTTTCAGTGCTTTCTATATTGTATTAGCTTTCACGGTGAATAAAAAAATATTACAAGTAAATAATTTTACTAAACCAATCTTTGATTAATTCTTGTAATAGAGATTTATTATGCAACTTTAAATTTTTCGTTGTGTTGATATCCATAAAAAAACTACCTACCTCTGATCACATTTTTTATTAAAAAAAACAAAACATTTTATTATTAATAAAAAAATGTGATTATATGATGATCAAGACATTATTATGTTATATAAATAAATGTGAATGAAATATCTAATAAAACACACTAAAAATACAAATAAAACACACACCAACACACGCCAAACCTAACCAACAATAAACAATAAACATGAACAAGAATGACATGAAATGATACATAATTGCAATTGTCAAAATTTATTCTACAAAATCTTTGTGGCGACATCTATAGACTCTTTTCCCAACTTGTATATCCATCTCAAGTCACGTGGTTCCCAGAGTTTCCCCATTTTTTCAAGTATAAGTTCTCGGGCCCTGCAAAAGAGTGACAGGTACCGCAGTTCACAACCCTGATTTTGGTTTTAGTGATATTATTAAAATTGGGTGGTATTCATGTCATACGTTATGTCAATCATGTCATTATTAAACTTTTGGAATGTTTTTATTTGTCTATAATTGGGATCTTAGAAATTCATATTTTAATTAAAAAAATTTAATTCGTTACATGTTGCGAAGAAAAAATTAAGGAAATAAATGTCTGTACGCATATTCAATCTCACGAAATAATTATTTTACTACCATATTTTTTTTAGTTTGAGAAGGATATCCAGCTAAGTAAAACACTTTCCTGGCTTCTACGACATGGAGCTGTGAAAGAAGGCTTACACATCTCTAGAGAAGGATTTGTAAGTGTAGTAGACATATTGAACCACAAAAGTTTAAGGAACCGCTACAATTTGGAGGATATTAAAAGGGTGGTCGATGTCAATGATAAGCAAAGGTTTAGACTAAGATGCAATGATGGCATCTGGGAGATATGTGCCAACCAGGGACATTCTTTGAAAGTATGTTTTCAGGCAATACTGTTTTCCACAAATTACTTTAAAATTTTTAGGCAGTTGAAGATCCCGATTTAGTTCCTATTTTAGAAGCAAATGGTACTGAGGCAATTCATGGCACTTATAACAAAAATTGGCATGCTATTAAGAAACAGGGATTGAAGTGTATGGGTAGAAATCATATCCACTTTGCAACGGGTTTGCCAGATGACAGGGCCGTCGTTAGTGGTATGAGAAAAACAGCCGAAGTCTTTATTTACATCAATTTACCATTGGCCTTGTCTGATGGTATCAAATTTTTCAAATCCACCAATGGCGTCATTTTAAGTTCTGGAAATGACAAGGGCATCATCGACCCAAAATACTTCTTAAAAGTTTGTGACAGTAACGGAAAATTTTTACTTTAAATTTTAGATAAGAATAGTGCAATGTATAGAGCTGTGAAACGTAAGTCTTTTAAAACGGCGCGATTTATTAGTTTTAAAAGATTTTTTATTTAATGGCAGAAAATTTATTTAGGTAAACGTGACGAAGATATGGAGCAATCTAATAACAAAATAGAAGGTGAATCAAAAAAGGCAAAACATTTAATTTGCGACCAGTGTAAAGTGGAGTTGCCGAATGAAGCTTCCATGAGGCAACACCTGCTCGGGCAGAAGCATAAAAAATTAATTGACGCGGAAGAAGACAGGAAAAGAGTAGAACGGAAGTGTGGTCTTTTCATTAGAGGTAAGTAAGTAGCTGAAAATAATGTATAAATAAACAAACGATTAAACCAGCTAGTCGAGGTCTGGTGAGAACTCGATTTTAAGAAAATTGTCAATATTGAGGTTAAAAGTGCATTTCCTGATCTAATATTGATAAAATTAGACATTGACGATAAAAATTAAACCTATTCAAGAATAGTTCTGTAATTATTTTACGCTTATTTGACTGTCACTACAGGTGTTTGCACGCTTTCTTATTTCTATCCGAATTTTACAGAACTGGTCGAGTAACGATTTTGATCGGATAACTGGTGCAGTGACCCTACCTAAATGAATTTTTTTTAGGTTTTTCTCCGAATGTTGATAAAGATACGATTCTATCTTACTTTTCTAAATTTGGCAAAGTCGTATGGGTGCATTTTGACCATTCATTCCTACTTCTGGATTATGACGACCCCACGCCTGCAAGTAATGTTATAAACAGGACCCATTACCTGGGGGGTCAAAGACTTATGGTGAAATATAGACAGCTGAGAAGACAAGGTGAGTTCAATGATTTCACCCGTATTTTAAAAACAGAATGCTTTAAATCAGCTTGACGACTGCTATTTTTTTTTCAGTTACAGCACAGAAAAAAGAGGAAAGCAACGACTTTGTAGAACGATTAAAAGACGTCCCCAATTTCGAAGACCAACTGGAAATGCTTGGACAAAACCTCCAACCGGCTTCTCAACAGCAGTTTCCGAAGTACAACAAAGTGTGCAAGGACCTCTACAACGCCCTGTGCCACACGTTCCCCTACTGCCGCATTCACCCGTTCGGTTCCACGATAACGGGACTGGAATTCAACAACAGCGACGTCGATGTCTTCATATCAGGAGTGAAATGGGGCAACAACGATGTGCCCTACTTATACCGAGCGAAGAGTTTGCTGCTCAACTCGCACCTATTTGCTAACGTTATAGTAATCCCGCAGGCTAAAATCCCGATTCTGAAATGCGTGCACGTTGAAACGGGCATCAACTGTGACATTAACCTCAAGAATATGTTGGGCGTCTGCAACAGTCGCCTCATAAATTATTACATGAACCTAGATCCTAAACTTCGGAAGATAATGATAGCGTTAAAGTTTTGGGCAAAGACGCATAAGATCACCGGGCAGAACCATCTCTTCACGAATTACTCATTGAATTTGATGCTGATTTTCTTCCTGCAGCATAACCCGTTTCGTTTTCCCTCCATTTTGAAACTTCAGGAGAATCCGCAGTTTTTCAACAACCAAGACGGTTGGAATGGCGGTTTCCAACCGATCATGTTTACCTGCTCCGAACTCCATTGTACGTCCGTGTCGAAGCTGTTAGAAATGTTTTTTTCATTCTACGTGGAATACGAGTATGGTATCAACGTTATTTGTCCGTATCTCGGTGTTTTCGTAAAAAAACAAACGTTCAAGGAACCAAATAGCCTCCCCAACACATTTAACACCTACAAACAATACGTAGCAGCAACCAACCTGCCGTTGAAAGTCGAAACGGCGATTTGCGTGCAAGACCCTTTCGAGCACTCGCGAAACACCACGCCGATAGTATCGACCGCTACCCTGGAAACGTTTGTCAGTTTTTGTAGGTTAGGCAAGAAGTTCTGCCAGGAAAACGAAGGACCGATCCTGTATAAGCTGTTAACGGAGGTACCCGAGAACGTGACGGCTCTGACGGTCGTTAAATCACAATCGAGCCAGTTCTCCATACCCATGAGACCAGGTATGAAATATATAGAAGAAAAACATAAATCTGGACCCGAAAGGCATAAAGCTTGGTTCGAAAGCATGGTGAAGTTCACAAAAATTGTCCTCAAAGATTTTTTGAGGCTCGAGATGACTGAAATCACTAATACGGCTTCGAAAACGAAGCATAAAAAAGCCGACGGACAATCGGACGTGTACGCGGAAACAACACCTGTCTGCTTTAAATGTCGCGGTAAATTAAATCTGTGGCAAGCCAGAAAATCGACGGCAAAGAATAAGCCCGAGGGTGAAGAACCGAAGAAGGGCGTCATTGAGAAGGAGATTGCGATCACCGAGCAGTTGTGTGTTTTGTACAAAGACGTTTACCCAGACGACGATATCATCAATTTCGAGATAAACCTGGAGCACTTTACGGATCCCCCGAAAGTGACGATAGACGTTAAAAAGGTCGCGGCCTACAAGAATTCTTTCAAATCTTTCGTTACGTTTTTCTCGGTTAAGTTGCCCGCTTGGTTTAAGGTTTTCGAACAGGAACAGAACGAGTGTTTGTGAAATTAAATATATAATTTATTTAGATTTTCTGGGTGGAATATACGGGGGTACTTGTACAGATATTTTTATAGATTTGTGGATTTGTGTAAATATACATTAAAAAGCAGAAGTTTCATAATTATTGTAATAAAAAGAAAAATTTTGAAGATAAATATACATTTAAATATTATTTCAAATAATTTTCAGATGAAGAAAAGTCGAAAATTAAAATACCTGGTCAAACTTTAAAGCTGGAATTTACGTCACAAATTAAAAAAATTCATATAAACATGTCCAAATTGCTTTGTTTTCAAGATAAATGTATTGAAGATCTCGACAATATTTTTTTTTGCTAAGACTTCCCGATTTGAGACAAACAGTAGTGTAGGGGCCGGCCAGTTTGGTTTATTTATTCAAATGAAACTGCTTCACTACAAAGTTGTATTTATCTGTTAACGTTAAACACATAAACATAACCTCGCTTCGCCTCTTGACATAATAGCGGTTTTATTTTGCTCTCGGAACGAAAGCAGCTAATGTCACTGTTTTTCAACATAATAATCGTAAAGTAACTAGTAACGCCAACTTTTCGGCGCGAGATTCAAATAATATAAAAATATAATAGATACGTTGTATATATTTTATATTACTATTGAAAGTTGTTTTTGAAGTAACAATAATATTAATTCGCAATCCTTTTACCAATGAATAAAATAGAATACTACCTACTTTCCTACTTATATTTACATATAACATTAAATTCTACCTTTGATTCTCTCTAAATAGATACTGTCATGCAATATTGTTGCCATAACTTTGTTGTCACTGAGTGGAAGTCGAAAGTAACTTTTGAACCATAAGAATAGCTTGAAAAATTACCACAAAATCATGACTATTATAGGTCAAAATAATGTTAGAAACCGTATTTCATAACCTCAAGAATTGCATTTGAAAACAAAATTTTGAACATGAGGCAGCTTTTCCTTAAAATAGTTAAATGGCAATGCAAAGCATTATAAATTTGACAAAATGTCAGAATTTTTATGATACATAAAAATTTGAATTTTTTCCTCGCTGTACCCGCTACAAACAATGATACATAACGAGCGTTCAAATAAAAACGTGGTCAAGTAGGTTCTGAAAATTTGGACGTAGGGCGTAGCGTAATGAACTTAAACGTCATCTGTCAAAGCGCTATGTCGCCGCTATCAATTTGAATATTTTCGTTTTAAAAAGCGTTTAAAATGGTGTTTTCTCAAGAACAAAAAGTGTTTATCATAGAGTCCTACTTTAGAAATGGACGCAAGATTGATGGAATATGGAAGTATTCTATTGAGGAATGTTTCATAGAATTTCAAAATCAATTTCCCGGCGTTGTTGAGTACAAAATTTTTCAAAGTGCAGTTCAGCGTTGTGTTAATGTTTTTCGTGAAACGGGCAGTGTAACAAGAAAAGAAGGAAGCGGCCGACCTAAAAAGCGGACTGAAGAATTAAAAGAAAATGTCCAACAAATAATGGAAAATGCGCCAAGAACTTCTGTACGTGTTTTATCACAAATGGTGGGAGTATCAGTCGGTACCTGCCACACAGTGTTAAAAAAAGATTTGCGTTTGTTCTCCTATCGTTTAACTTGTCAGCAAGAACTTCATGAAGTTGATTTTCCGCGACGGGCTGTATTTTGTGAATGGTTTTTAAACAACTACGGTGAACTTCATAATATCACCTTTTTTTCTGATGAAGCCTGGTTTCATTTAAGTGGTTACGTAAACTCACAGAATATGAGAATGTGGTCTTCTGAAAAACCAGATAACTTTTTTGTCGAGGGCCCTCTACACGCTCAAAAAATTGGAGTTTGGTGTGCTCTCAATCGAAGGAGGATTTATGGACCTATTTTTTTTAATGGTACTCTTACTGCGCAAAGGTATAGAGAAGAAATTATCGCTCCTTTTGTTAACCAGCTGGAAGAAAACGAAATTACAAACTTTTACTTTCAACAAGATGGCGCAAGGGCACATACGGCAGGCGAGACGATGAATATGTTGAGGGAAGTTTTCCAAAATCGACTAATAAGTCTCAATGCTGAACATGAATTTCCACCGAGGTCATGTGATATTACGCCGTGTGATTTCTTTTTGTGGCCTTACCTTAAAAACACTATTTTTGAACTGCCTATTCCTGATTTAAACCATCTGCAGGCTCGACTTATAGACAAGATTCGTGAAATTAACAATACCCCGAGCATCTTAGAAAATGTCTTTAATTCTTTGAGGAACAGGTGTGAAAAGTGCTTGGAACAAGGAGGGGGACACTTTCAGCAGCTGCTTTAATTTATTGTTATAACAAGGAGGGGGACACTTTCCGCAGCTCCTTTAATTGTTTGTTATTGTTATCACGATTATTCTTTAATAAAGTTATATAGTCATTAACGTTATTGAAACTGACAGGTGCTATACAGCTCGTTGAGAAATGAGGTTAAGCTGGTCGCTATAAGCTACTCCCTACGTCCAATGTGTCAGAGCCAACTTCAACCACATTTTTATTTGAACGCTCGTTATAATATAATAGCAAAACTGAAAATGGACTTCATAATGAAACTTTTTCTATGAGAAGAGGCACATAATAAGTATTGGAAACTTACCTTAAAACACTATCTTGTGGAACCCAAAAATGAATGTTGTAAAATTGTGGGAGCTCCACATAAGTGAGGTTATACTTTGATTAAAAAGAAACAATTGAATGAGCAACAATGAAAAAGGCCAAACAGGCGTTGGTCGTCATTGACACACTTGATTCAATATATCAGTAATTTAAAAAATTAATTACTGAAACTAAGTTCAAAAGCTTCAAAATTCTATTCCTTATAAACATTTTTCAAATTTCAACGTAATAACAATTTTAAACACTGCTAAAGACAAATAACAAATACATATATTATTGGGAACTAGAAAAGTCTAATGTAAATTGCGACATGGCTACAATTTTATATCTAAATATACAGGGTGTCCTCGAAAGGTTTGTACAAAATTTTACCACAAATTCTCGAAGACGAAAATAGATCGATTTGAATTTAGTACAAAAGTTGATAATTATGGAGATACAGGGCGTCAAAGTTAATAATTTATCTTCAATTTTCTTCACTATTTATCGATAGAAACGTTACGTTAAAAACTTGGTATACAGGGGTAAAAATTGTTGTCTATCGTTCTTTCATTATCTTTTTTATATTACGGTACAAAATAAAGTTAAAGATAACAACTTACCTGCCAATATGTGTTTGTTCACAATAATAGTCCATATCACATCTAACAAGTGCACGATCTTTTACCCGGAGATAACGCTCGCTGGGTTTTTGCCAATTTATTACCGAACAGAGCCCAAAACGTTCATTTCGTATTCGAGACATTTATGAATATATTTCGGAAATGTCTACAAGCTACGTGACCGCCAAACATAGGCAACCAACATTGCACGATTGGCACTGTCAACTAAAATCCCCTAAATCTTTGCGTCATTAATATTAATGATTCATTTACAATGAGCGATCACAAACTGTTGCGTTTAGGTTCAATAGCACGATTAATGATTGGTTGAAGAGAATCTTGAGAAAAATTACACCAATCATGAGAATAAAATTACTGTTTCAAACAAAATTGCAGGTCATGTGGCTTGCAATCATTTATGAAGGCTCTGTATGATGCGTTGGTACAAATTTTACCTTCGGTAAGTCGTTCAGTCTTCAGCGTACAGTATGATGCTTTTGTCAAGTCAGAGTGAAGTAAATGTTTGTCGAAAAAAGTCAAGAGAGAAGTAAATGTTTATTGAAAAAGTTAGTGGAGTAAAAGTTTGTTGAAAAAATGTCAGTGGAGCAAATGTTTGTTGAAAAAGTCAAAGTGAAGTAAATGTTTGTTGAAAAAGTCGAGAGTGAAGTAAATGTTTATTGAAAAAAAAGTCAGTGGAGTAAATGTTTGTTGAAAAAGTCAAAGTGAAGTAAATGTTTGTTGAAAAAGTCAAAGTGAAGTAAGTAAATGTTTGTTGAAACGTGAAACAATGATTTCTTCTTCAAAAAAAGACCATGTCCCAGAATAACCCCCACCACAACTCATTTTACGTGATTTTTACAACTCCTGCAAAAATTTGCAGGTAATGCGGAATGTGGTTACCTCCTTCATGGTAGGGTAAAGTTTGCAACAGCGGGAGAGGGAGGTTCCTGTAAATAAAAGGCGAATCTCCATTGTAAATTTATTTAGAGCAAGTAGGAATTTATAGTATGATGGCGTATGTAAAATTTACACTATCAACTGTTCTACTGTTTGCTGTCTCATTGCATCTGTTTCCCGTCGACTAATCCGTGAATGGTCAAGATGACTGCGCATGAGGTAAAGAAAAATAAATAAGTGTACCGATAAATACAGACTTCTAGTGATTAAGGGTATAAGGTATTTACAAAATCAACTCAAAAGTTCCTTTACAACCAACATCACAATGTTTCAAGTTACGGATAGGAAAGAGTGTCGTCGAAATAATAACATTAAAAATATCTCTGTAAAGTCAACTTTTGCGTCTCATTTACAAACTTTTATAGTAGTTTTGAACACATTTACCACCACCGCTGGTAGTGGTTCGTTTTTTGGCCCTGGTTATCGTGGTTGCGGCGTGCTTGTTTCGGACTGTCGTTTTCTTATGTTACTGTTAAATTAAAATTTGAGGTATTCGGATTCGCGGAAAATCATTGTACGTACTAATACTGTTTATTTGGATGAATTGACTGCAACGAGACTGCCAGCTTGCGCGCCAACGTCGGCACTCTCGGTGTCACCTTATCGTCGTATAAAGTATAACAGCAGTAAACTGAAGAAAAAAAAATATATATATAATAAATTCTTGAACAAAATTAACGCGTCACTAAAAATTTAGCCCAATATCAAAAATGATTTTCTTACAAAAGGCTAATCTAAAGTTTTTTTTACATTTTGTCATTGTCATTGTAATTTTCTTAAAAAACTACCATTTCTTACAAAAGTATAGAAAGGACATAAATATAGTATTTTTTAGAATAGCAAAATTTTTAGTTCAAAAGCCAAAATTAGGTGAATCAACACTAACCTTTGAATTTGAAAGGGAAATTTCGAGTTTGAACTCAAAATTTCGAGTTTAACCTTGAAATTTTGTATCTGAACTCAATATTCCCAGTTCCAAGTTCAGTTTCTCAATGAAACTAAATTTTATGTTCGAAATTAGAGTTGGGTTCAAAATTTTGAATTCAAACTCCAAATTTCTAATCTAAGTTTGAAATTCGAGTTATTTATTTTTGTAAGTATGCGTTCAAATCGACATTTAAATTCCAACATGGAATTTCAAATTTAATCTTAAAATTTTGCGTTGAACTAGAAATTTTATGTTCAAAGTTAAAATTCAACTCAAAATTTAGAATTTCAACTCCAAATTTTAAACCTGAATTCAAAATTTCGAGTTTAACCTTGGAATTTCGAATTTTTGTTCAATAATTCAAGTTTGAACTTCAAATTTTGGGTTTTAACTCAATATTGCCAATTCCAAGTTCAAAGTTTCTCAATGAAACTCTCAATTTTGTGTTTGAAGTTACAGTTGGGATCAAAATTTTGAATTTAAACTCAAAATTTCTAATCTAAGCTTGAAATTGGAGTTACTTATTTTTTTTTAAGTATGCGTTCAAATCGACGTTTAAATTCTAAAACATGGAATTTAAAATTTAATCTTAAAATTTTGCGCTGAACTCGAAATTTCACATTCAAACTGGAAATTTCGTGTTCAAAGTTAAAATTCAACTGAAAATTTGGAATTTCAACTCCCAATTTCGAACTTGACCTTGAACTTTTAACGTTTAACATTTAACTAGTAATTTGCATCAAACTTAACATTTAACTTAAAATTTCGAATTTGAACTTGAAATTACGAGTTTCAACTCAAAATTTCGAGTTTAACCTTGAAATTTCGGAATTTTGGTCAATGATTCAAGTACGACCTTGAAATTTGCCAATTCCATGTTCAAAGTTTCTCAATGAAACTGGAAATTTCACATTCAAACTGGAAATTTCATGTTCAATGTTAAAATTCAATCCCAAATTTCGAACTTGAACTCTATATTACGAATTTGAACTCAAAATTTCGAGTTTAACCCTGAAACTTCGAACTTTTGCTTAATAATTCAAGTTTGAACTTGAAATTTTGGATGTGAACTCAATATTCCCAATTCTAAATTCAGTTTCTCAATGAAACTTTAAATATATGATCGAAGTTAGAGTCGGGCTCAAAATTTTCAATTTAAACTCGAAATTTTTAATCGAAGCTTGAAATTTGAGTTGCGTATTTTTTTTAGCTAAGCGTTCAAACTCGACATTTAAGTTCTACTACGGATTATCAAATTGAAACTTAAAATTTTGTGTTGAACTCAAAATTTCATATTCAAACTGGAAATTTCTTGTTCAAAGTCAAAATTGAACTCAAAATTATCAATTTCATTTCCAAATTTTGAAAAATTTCTACCTTGTGTTGTTATTAAACGTAACAAATAAAGTTCACGACAACATTAACTTTGAAATTGGACCCTTTATTGCAAAGCGTTAATTTTGTCATAGGAGTTCATAAGAAAAAGTTTCTAAAAAAAAATAAATAAAATAACGACCTTCCTAAAAAATAAAAATATATTCCAGTAGTTGTTTCAAACTTGAATAGGCCTTCGGATGAACTCTACACGATATTCATAAACTTTAATGTGAATTTCATAGTGAAGAAATTTTCATTCACCAAAAAAAAAGTTCCTGCTAACGAACGTACCGAGAGCGAACCGATATCTTGCGAAACTGACACCGCGACTTTCAATAAATCAGGTTCCGTTCCACTTCCACCGCGTAATATTCCAAAATATTTGCTAGACCGACGGAAACCGCGAACAGAACACGATCTTCGGAGAGCGCGGCCATAATTGTCTCTCACCATGACGCCATTACCCCCGCCTCGTCTCTATTCCCGGCCAGGATAGCGCCTATCCCTAAGAAAGCCGAATGTAAGGATCGAACTATTTTTACATCCAAAACGTGACTAAATATTCGCATTGGATCTGGTTCGGGGTGCTACTCTTCCTTAAAATTAACACCAGCCCTACCGCCACGATGCCGACTCAAAAACGAATTTTTACAAAGCCTACTAACCTAAAGTGACGAATTTTCGACGGTCGACGAGGATCGGGATAAGGGCGTTCCCGGGAAGGCGTCTCGTTGAAAAAAAAACATGTATCTTGAGAAACCAGAGCCAACTGTCACACAGTTAACGGCAAATCATAGGAAACATGTATACATTATGTGGTTACTATATTACTCATCAATATATTTAAATACTAGTCATAAATTACTTTTATTTAGTTAACTTATCTGATGTAATAAAATTTATTGATAATTAAAACATTCGGAGTTGCACCAGAATGTCTCTGATCGGGGGGGGGGGGGGCACCACAACAGAGCTGCCCAGCTCAAAGTCTGTTGTACCGCCGCTTCGCCATCTGACGGCGTTCCGTCACCGATGCCGCCACTCGTCAGAAGCGGGATTCCCGCCCCCACATCATCAGAAGCGGGATCCCCTGCCCCGGCAAATCACAAATCACATATTTCTATTCACTCGAGTGATAACAGCATTAATTTACAAAACTAACCTAGAAGTCTTAGTGTATTGCCACGGGGCTCTGTTGCACGCAAACCCCGACCATGGGACTATCGTCTCTGTCCGTAGGCTTGTTTGGAGGGCCGTTCGACGCCTGATTGTGCTTCGGGGGGGTGCTGTCCATCATCGAGCCCGAATAGGGTGCGTACTGGAGAGACGTGGGTCCGTGGTTCAGCAGGGAGCCCTGGTACCGCTGCCGGTGGGTGTGGCGCGAGGGGGAGGGGTCGCATTCCATGGCCGTGAAACTCGAGGGCTGGTAGGCGTGTCCGGATAGGTCTCTTGATCGGCCGACTAAATTTAACCCTGGAAAAGAGGGCTCTTTATATCTGGAAATCCATTGAACGGTGTCTAGGGGACGAGTCGCGGGGGAAGTTTTATCACAAGGCATGCTGACAGAGGTTTCTCTTGTAGGAAAGGGACTATTTTCTAGTTATTTCATTTGCCTTGGTGGTAAATATATTCTGTTAACCTTTTAAATGCAAAATAATAATATTTCTATCTAAATTTATATTTTTGGAATAGGTGTTTAACGGTTTGTCATCAATTTTGTTAAAAAACAACTATTTTATGCGAAAGTGCAGACAGGCCAATGCCTTTTAATCTTTTTTATTAATATCGAGTTCAAAATTTGGAAGAAAGCCAAAATTTATAACATCAAAATGTCCTGTTTTCAACTCAATATTTCCAGTTTGAACCTGAAATATCGAGTTTAACTAGAAAATTACAAATTCCATATCCAAACTCAAAATTTCGATCTTAAACTCCAAATTTCAAGTTTGAACTTTAAAATTTTATTTTGAACATGAAATTTTGTAAACAAATGTATTTCACGCTGAAAGTTAAAAATGTTTTAATATAAATTTGAAATTGTCCTACTTTCAACTCAAAATATCGAGTTTAACTAGAAAAATATTGAACTCCTTTCAAGTTTGAATTTTAAAATTTGATTTTGAATCTGAAATGTTGTAAACAATTGTATTTCATGCTTAAAGTTAAAATTTTTTTAATATAAATTTGAAATTGTCCTGTTTTTAACTCAAAATTTCGATAAGATTCCTTTCAAGTTTGAATTTTAAAATTTGATTTTGAACCTGAAATTTTATAAACAAATGTATTTCATGATTAAAGTTAAATTTTTTTTAATATAAATTAGATATTGTCCTGTTTTCAACTCAATATTTCGAGTTTCAACCTGAAATATCGAGTTTACTAGAAAATTTCAAATTGCATATCAAAATTTCGATCTTGAACTCCAAATTTCAAGTTTGAACTTTAAAATTTGATTTTGAACCTGAAATTTTGTAAACAATTGTATTTCACGCTTAAAGTTAAAAATTTTTTTAATATAAATTTGAAATTGTCGTTTTCAACTCCAAATTTCAAGTTTGAACTTGAAAATTTGATTTTGAACCTAAAATTTTATAAACAAATGTATTGAAATTGTCCTGTTTCCAACTCAAAATTTTGAATTTGAACCTGAAATATCAAGTTTAACTAGACAATTTCAAATTTCATATCAAAATTTCGATCTTAAACTCCTTTCAAGTTTGAATTTTAAAATTTGATTATGAATCTGAAATTTTGTAAACAAATGTATTTCACGCTTACAGTTAACATTTTTTTTAATATAAATTTGAAATTGTCCTGTTTTCAACTCAAAATTTCGAGTTTGAACATGAAATATCGAGTTTACCTAGAAAATTCCAAATTTTATATCCAAACTCAAAATTTCGATCTTAAGACTCCAAATTTCAAGTTTGAACTTTAAAATTTGATTGTAGACCTGAAATTTTGTAAACAAATGTATTTCACACTTGGTTCAAAATTTTTTTTATATAATTTGAAATTTCAAGTTCCAAATTGAAATTTTGAATTTGAACTGAGTATTCTGATTTTGATCTTGAAATCTCATGTTCAGTTTTAATTTTCGCATTCAAACTTAAAATTTTGTATTCATAGGTAAAATTAACTTAAAAATTTCTCTTTTGAACTCGAAATTTCCGAGTTCGAGTTCCAAATTTAGTGAAAAGAAAAAATGTAAGGCCTATTTACACTTACGCAATTTTCTCATTACGAAATTCACAGAACGAAAGAAAAAAAACAGGTACAGATCATGCAGTAAATAAGTGATAAGAAATCTTTTCACTGTAAATATACATCCTGTTCCCATTTACAAAACTTTTTTTTTAGAAGATTGGGGGACCTCGAGAATGAACGTTAACCCGGTGCATTAGAAGGGAGGGATCTACTAAACAGGGGGGATGTAATGAAATGTCCAATACCTGTGTTAATAAAGCGGTTACTATTCATAACCATATCACTATGTTAGTCATCGGTGGTTCCCGGACTGCAGGTCTGCAGGTACATACACAATACAAATTAATTACATCAGAGCAATTAGTTCATTTTCGTTTTAATACGAAGACAAAAAAAAGCTACCCCAGCACACCGGGCAGACTTACACAAGAATCAGACAGGTGGATCTCATGCAAATATGCACAATTCACACTCTTCTCGACCTATATCGGTGAATAATTTACAATAACGGTTTTCGGCGACACAAAATTTACAAATGAGCAAAGATTTTAGCAATTAATTCGTGTTTGTAGTAATTTTAGTAGCTCTGTTATAGCGGGTGTACCAAAAGTCACGCAAGATTTGAATTTTGCGCCATTTGCGCGGAAAAGTTCGAGAGAGTGTTGCTGAGAGTTCTCTACAGCGTATTCTCAGGAAAGATGCATCTTCATGCGTACGAAGTTCAACTGACTCGAGACTGGTCTTTGCGGAGGGAAGAGAGTTCGTTGTATGAATTATGCAAAAAGTGGATGCTGATTTTTAGAATAAAATCATCTTGATTCGTTAATCGATAAAATTGTCGCATTTGAGATTCGGAAAATACGTTTTCGATGAAAATTACTTCCCGAGTGAATTTTGGAACACCCTTTATTTAAAAAACTATTTATTTATTGAATAATTGGATTTGGTCGTTCCTTACGATTTTTGCATAACTAGAACTCGGCACAGACAAAACAACACAAAAGGGGATTATTTCCTGAATAACAACAAACATCAAAAAACGAGAATCTCGACTATCTTAAAATTCCTGCAGGTGGATACATGTATCACGAACGACGTTTTCTGATGAACATCGAACATGCAATAAAGCGCAACGGTAGCGTTTTTTTAAGTACAAGATTCCACATATATACAAAATGTCTTACGATACAAATTAACACCAGACGGAATCGTCCGAATTATAAAAATTTTTTTTCGTTAAAAAACAATGAATAAACCGAAAGCTATTATTTCTGTAAAGATGCACATTTTGTGACAAAAAAATGTGATGAAAAATGTGTAATGGTAGTTCGGTATTTTTTTATTGCAATGAATGGAAGTTTTTTATGAAAGAAAAGTACTCTCGTTGCATATTGGAAAGTGATTAAGGCGAGAGTACAATTCGTGTGAAAAAATTGTAATTCTGTAGTGGCATAGCTGTCATGAGCTTCCCATCAAAAAAATTACAAGTAATTGACATGATTTGTTATTTTCACGGACGGTGTTTTTCTTTTAAGTGTTTTTAAGAGGGTTCTATAGCAAATAGCCAACCAGCAATAGATTTTTATAGATTTTATTACAGTTTGTCTAAATATGAATTAATGCATAAATAACAGACTTTCCTCCATTTTAACGCAGATTTTCTATAAAATGGATGTAGTTTCAAACTCAAATTACACTTTGTTGTAAAGAAACTTGTAATTTGCCACTTTTAAACAAGCGATATCATAAAATAACACTTTCCTCCATTCCAACAGATTTTCTATAAAATGGAGTTAGTTTGAAACTCAAATTACTTTTCGGTGTAAAGAAATTTGTAATTTACGATGTTCAAAAGCTGCAAATTACAAATTTCTTTACAACAAAGAGTAATTTGATTTTCAAATTAACTCCATTTTATAGAAAATCTGCGTTAGAATGGAGGAAAGTCTGTTATTTTACGATATCGCTTGTTCAAAAGCGGCAAATTACAAATTTCTTTACACCAAAACGTAATTTAAGTTTCAAATTTAGTCCATTTTATAGCGAATCTGCATTAGAATGGAGGAAAGTCTGTTTTGTGTGCATATTTAGACAAACCCTGTAATAAAATCTATAAAAATGTATTGCTGGTTGGCTATTTGCTATAGAGCCCTCTTAAGTGTATTTAATTTATTTTTTAGCGAGTGTTTGTGCAGTAAAAGCGACAGTTTAATATAATCAAATTCCAGACCGCTAGTACAGAACCTACTTTATGCTTTCGGAGGCCGATAAGTTCACAAATACAGAATTTTAAATTTAAATAAATTTTGTAACTTTTTTTTTATTAAAAAATTGTGGAACCTAGTACTCAAGACCGTCACCGCCCAAATCCACCCCCATCTACCGACATCCCTCACTCACCATGCTGACTACTCGAACTATTGGTCAAAGCCATATCCAAGGAGGCCACGGCGGGGCTCGAACTCGTGCTGTTGGCCGTGTTGGTGCTCTCGTCCGACGTCCTCTTGAAGAAGTTGTGCTGCAGGGCGTAGTAGGGCGTGATCCTTGTTTTGGGGTCGTAATCGAGCATGCGCAGGATCAAATCCTTGAACTTCAGATAGTCGGACATGGAATGGCCGGCTTCGCCGGCCCGTCGGCCGCCCGGCCCGCCCGTCTCCACACCTAGGATCTCGTGGAGCCTCCGGGTGCCCGGCAGCTTGTATTTCTTGCCGTCTTTCGGTTTCTTCAGGATGTACCTGCGAATTTGAGTCGTGAAAATAGAAAAATTAAATTCGGGCCGTTAAAAACCGACAGACCTTCGGTCCCCGGGAAGCTTCTCGAAGAACTTCCTGGTCTTGTTCGCCTGCTCGAGCAGGTGCTTCGGCGGCATGCCCAGCACCTCCACGATCTTGTTCATCTGGTCGATTTCGTTGGCGCCGCTAAATAACGGCTCGCCCGTATGCATCTCTACCAGGATACAACCCAGGGACCACATGTCGATGGCCAGGTCGTAGGGTATGCCTAGAAGCACCTCCGGCGATCTGTAGAACCTCGACTGGATGTACTGATATATCTGCGAATTAAACATTTATATGAATTTTATTAATTTATTTACGATCCAGGTCCACCTTTTGGTTAGAATTAGAATTAGTCAATGAAAAACGGTCTACAAAGAAATAAGTATAACAAAAAGAATTACAAAGGAACAAAATACAATATAAAATTTATTATCAAAAAATTAAGCTATCAAGGGTGTTATAAGGATAAAAATGTGCGGAAGTCATTATCCTATAACACTCATGATGCTTTCAACATTTAGTGACCTCTATTTGACTGGTTTGAAATATACAGCTATATGTATAGACTATAGACGTTAAATAGTTTGAGATCTTTATGTTTTCCACGCACAAAAAGTGGCACTTCGTAGTCGACGTAATTATAGTGGAAGTTATTTTTGAATGCTATGTTTCCTGTACTTGTTCCAGTTTTGAAGAAGAAATTAACAATCAGAAAACCTGTTGGCTATCGACGAGCATCGATCGATAAAATAACACAGGGCAACAAAATTTTACGAAAGGTCACACCCAAAAACCAAACCTCACTTGCCCGAAGGTTTTTGGTGCTTAGAATCCGAATCTGGCGTCAGAATTGCTCCTATACGTCACATTTCCGAAATATCCTAACCTAAAAGTGCAAAAAACACGTTTTTTTTGCTATATTTGAACTTATATCACAGAGCGAAAAATTTTTTTTCTAAAAACGAATCATGCCCTCTAAAACTACTACTCTTACCCTTCAAAACGCTTTTTTCAGATTTGAAAAATCTTTTTTGTTCGCGGAGATATCATTGAATGAAGTTTTCATATCAGTGGTACTAAAATCGAAAAAAGTTCTTCAGAAAGCGGATATTTATGTTATTTGGGTAGCTCAATCCGAATCTGACCTCCAAATTATTCTATCACTTTAGGATTCTGAGATTTCCTAACCTAAAACTGCAAAATCAACCTGTCTGGTTAATACCGATAGTTCATCCTAAAATCGTTGATTTTGCAATTTTAGGTTAGGAAATCTCAGAATCCTAAAGTGATAGAATAATTTGGAGGTCAGATTCGGATTAGGCGATCCAAAAAACATGTAAATATATTTCTTCAACTTTCTGAAGTACCACTGTTATAAAAACGCTAAAGTACCTAACTTTATTCAATGATATCTCCGCGAATAAAAAAGATTTTTCAAATTCAAAAAAGCGTTTTGAAGGGTAAGAGTGGTAGTTTAAAAAGGCATTATTCGTTTTTAGAAAAAAAAATTTCGATCTGTGATATAAGCTCAAATATAGCAAAAAAACGTGTTTTTTGCTCTTTTAGGTTAGGATATATCGGAAACGTGACGTATAGGAGCAATTCTGACGCCAGATTCGGATTCTACGCACCAAAAACCTTCGGGCAAGTGGAATTCAATTCCGAAAAATCACAAAATGTTAGGAAGATATAAGGATAAGAAAAACAACAGATTTAGTGAAAAAAAATAGAAAAATTCTGGAGGAAGAATCAAAGAAAACTAACCTAGAAAACTATGTTTAACTTTGTTCTTAATCTTGAAAAGAAAAAAAATACATGGTCATTTGAAAGGATTATGATCCATACTTTTTTTTGTCTCACTAACTTGAATAAAAAAGAGAACAAGGATAATTTCAAATCATCTGCAAGGAATGACAATTTACAATGAGATGTGTATTGCTAGCAAATATCATTCAGAAAGACGTCAAAGCAGAGTGGTCCCAATTGAGAGCCTTGGGGCATGCCTGATGTCATTGCAATTTTGTGGGATATGAAATTTCCCATATAACCATGAGGGAAAAAGGGTCTGCAGAAACTAAACGGAATCTAATGGTGTATTATTATGGTAAAAATTCACAATGTGGATATCATTTAGAAAGATGCCAAAGAACATTGGCCTCAAGTAAGAGCTCTGAGGTACACTAAATATCACTGTAATTTTATTGGAATAAATTGCCAAATATGTGATGATTCTCTGAAAGAAATATTTTTATCATTCAAAAAAAGTATCAAGAATTAAAAGCATATGAAGTTTGTAGATTAAAATATTGTGATTTACTCTATCAAAGGTATAAAGATTTTAGAAACATTGAAATGAATACAAATCTGTGGTTAATTCGAAAGAAATAGAACTCACCCTTTGTCCTAACTGGCAGGAACTGCCGAAATCGACGATCTTGATCGCCGACCTCTTCGGATTGCACAGCAGGATGTTTTCGGGCTTCAGGTCGCAGTGGATGATGTTCAGTTCGGGCGTGGAGAGGAAAAGCAGGGCCGTGCACAGCTGCTGAGCGAACTTCCTGGTGAGATTCAGCGAAACCCCCCGGAAGTTGGTGTTCCGGAGGAGATCGTACAGGTTGTAGGAGAGAAGTTCGAATACCAGGCAGAGGTGGTTCCTCCACATGAAATGCCTCTTTAATTTAACTGGAAGAACAGTTAAATCAGGCGAGTGTGGCGGCCGCTACACGTGTATAACGGATATAACTCACCTATATAATACTTATTCTCTATATCGGCCCTGTTCATCATTTCCAGCAGCTTGACCTCGATCTGGGCCTGATTGAGGAAGGGCTTCTTGTTCTTGATGATCTTGATGGCGACGTGGCACTGTTCCGAGTGATCGAACGCCTTCACCACCTGCCCGAACGAGCCTTTGCCTATGAGGGAGTCTATCTCGTAACGCTCCAGGAACTTCTCGCCGTTCTTCACGATGTAGTCGTGGTTGTCGTCGTCGAAGCCGTCGTTGTAGATTTTGCGCTCCTTCTTGTGCGAGCTGTCCTCCCCTTGGATCTGGGCCGCCCGCCGCTTCTTTTTGGCATAATATACCTGCAAAGTAATCACCACCGTTATATCCTCCTAAAAAAAAAAACGATCATTTTTCGATAACGTTCCTATTCACCAGGAATCCCACTTGTTATATAAAACGCAACAGCTAATCTATATATAATATGTAATAATAGTGCACACAGCGGTGCTGATAAGTATAGGTTTGTAAAACATGGAATTCGTGTTAATGCGTTTTTTAAATTAATTTCTGGGAAAACCGAGTCTAATTTAGAAATACATTTTCAGAGAACTACAGATAATTGATTATTGAAATGCGCAATTATGCACATGAAATGGAATGAAACTTTTAAGGTAATGTAACCGAGTGGTTGCTATGTTTGTAACTGCACACAGAAGCCTTACAAAAAATCTTACTACCATGATTTATCACTGCTACAACAAATAAATATTAATTTTTTATAAAATGTTTACATCGTGAATTTAATTTAAAGTCCCATTTTTTGGCAAAATAGGAACAAGGGTCGTGGTACCCGGTTGAAATTTTAAGTCTATGCAGCAGTTGCAAACATAATACTTAGATTATCGACTAACTCGGGCGCTTCGCGATGAATTTATATTAAAAATTAGGGACCTAATAAGGGAAACTTCGCCGCGGCCGCCCCCAATCCTGCGCTTCTTTCCGCTCGGCTTATGGGCGGTCACGCGCCCCCAATGTGTCGACTGTCGTCTGGGCCGTCATCCGCCCATAACTTTTCCAGTCGCGTGCCCTGCATGGCCAACTAGATAATAACCGAACGGTCCCCGATCTGACGGATTGCTAATATCGGCGCAATATCTCGCCTCTTCCGGTTATAACTTCGGCGGCTACCCGCTCCGCATCCCGCGAAGGTTCCGTTCAATTACCGACCGCTTGTGTCAGATTTTGGAAAGGGCGCGTCTCGTAATTTTCACGGATCCAAAAAGTCCCCTAGAGCAAATATCCTACGTAGGTTCGAGGATCTCGCCGACTTACAGCGTAGACAGTGGCGTATCGTAAAAATTGCCAGCGATGTTTCGCTTGAAGAACAATAGATGGCGCTGAAATGCTCTGCGCTCAAAGTGACATAATTGTATATTGTAACAAAAGCCGAGACGCGTGGTAATTTATTTATTAGTTCTCGGAACGGATGGGACAAAAATAACAATATTTCAGTCAAGACTAATTTATCGAAAAGTTAAGGGTTTCAAGTAGGTTTAGCGTCGCCACAAGGCCGTCTTTCGGGGAAGGCTTCATGAAATTTAGCAGTATTTTTTAACAAGTTCACTTAGACCGTCGTCGTGTTGAGCATCTGGTATAAAGAGAAAAATCGATATTTCTAATAACGTGCGAAATGCATTAGAAAGAATACGTAGGAATTCCAAGATAAGTTGTTAAATTGATAATAATTGGAAAATAAAGCTATATCAAATAGCTGGTTTTTAGGCGGACTTTCCAAGCTACAAGAATAGATTAAATGAGATTGACTAAACTGTCCTACAACTCCCCAAGATCAAATGAGACAATTTTGGTCTTAGCTTCACTTATTTGTGAGGAAACTGCCCATATATTTCTAATAGATGTACGGCTTTTATCCTACTACTATTTCGATTAAAAAAGATCAAAACATACGATCACAATCTGGCTCGATGGCTTTCCGAACGATTTTTAACTTTAACCGCTTCACAATTCGAACGACAAGATCACTGAACCTAATAATCGGATTAATACGATCACCGTTTGCGCAAAGGCGTTTATGATATAAAATCACCATCAGACCGTAGAATACCTCACGTAAGCCATAAAAAACTCGAAAAACCTTCACAAAGCACTTAAAAAAAGGGTAAACGATACATAAAATATGCTAAAGTTTATTATAGTGGTTATTTTTCTGTGCACGTCAGAACAACATCTATTAGTACTATTTATGTTGTTTTAATTTTAGTTCATTTTCTAACTTGCAGCCTCTGGAATCTTTTGCAATTATGAAATTAATGTGCTTCAAAATCTCTTATCCATGATTCTGAGGAATATTTGTTTTTATCATAGAGTTTAAACATTGTTTTCCGCTCTTCTAAATGTGCATCCAGAATTTAGTCATAGCTTCGTTCTAAAGGTAAACAAATTTTCCATTACGTTTATTATAATAATATTCAAATCGCAAAATGATTTCTTGTTCACCTTTATACGGGTGCATTATAGATGTCGCCCACCTCAACTTCGCCAAAGGTTCCGAGAATTCTTCAAAAGAACCTTGAGAGAAAACATCCGCCCGTTGGCAGGTTTTTTTTCCGTTTCGCTTCATTCATGTTTTCCGCGAATACCTTTCCTCGCAGTTTTTGTTATTAATCGGATGATTTCATCGTGACGCGACCCTCCTCTTCGCTCCGCGATGGGAAGAAAAACAAATCGCGCGACCTTTCACCGCGATGAGAAAGAAAGAGAGAGATAGGAAGAGATCGCGGCTCCGTCAACACGACAAACGCGGAAGAAAGATTTCATTACAATAACGTCAAATTTTTTTCAAAACCGAATCGCTCGGGCACAACGGTTTATTTACATTCATTATACGGCTAATCGGATTTCATATCTGGCGGCCGGCGAAAGCGTACCGGTTTCTGCGAATCGCGTTGGCCAATCCGACTGATCCTATGTCTTCGCCAGTGTTGCCATTCTCTAAGGATTTTCCTAGATATGAGGAATTCTGATCAATAACTCTAAGATATGAAGAATTATTTCGACTTCATAACATTGGCAACACTGCTATTCGCCGTTGCCCTAATCCCCCGACAACGCAAGACACGAACACGCCTCACTTTCTATTGTTAATTTGTTAACTTCGTTAAATCTATCCCCGAGCGTGGTGAAAACGAACAAAAAAAAACACCAATCGTTCGATTTTCATGCTAATTCGCACGAATTTTATAAGCCAACTATTTTAACAGATAACATCAGCTCTTTATTCATTATAAACAAACGAAGACTTGTCCTAAAGAAGTAAGTCATTAAATTTAAGTAGTGGTCGTTTTTTTTTTTGGGGTAATACGTGTTTTCCAGAAAACTGATCGAAAATTTGTTTTTAATCAAATAAATAGTCGAATTATAATTTCGTTTTTTTAACTGCAATTAAACTCTTGTCTACGCCATCAATGGGCAGTCCCAAATTCAGTTGTAAGTGCGCGGTTGTCAGTGTTGCCTGTTATTACCTGTCTAAATCCACACATAAAACTAGCGGAGTGGCAGAGAGCGAAACTACAATGGAATATAATTTTGTCAGCGAAAATGAGATTTGACAACAATGTAGCTTCCAATTGGATACGTATTGAACCAAAAATAACTTAAATAACTGTTACTTTATTGAGAAAATCGTGTTTTTTTTACATTTGCTGAACGCACTTAATGACACTAGCAACAATTTACTGTTTATTTAAAAACATGTGTAACATTTTCTGCAAAACCCGCCTGTACATATCGTGTATCAACAGTCCTATCAACATCAACTACAAACTCACGTAAGTCACTATATTATTCCTTCGCGATGTAAATCGACCGGTTATAATGATTTACTAGAAAAACTGACAGTTATAGTACGCGCCACAGACATCTAAGACCGGTAGGTAAAATATGCACGAGACATCTAAAAATAAACCGTCCAATATAAAAATAACCGGGCGGGCGCCGTCGCTTCTAATAAAAAAAAAGAACACTAGAAGTGACAGACGCCACTGGAAGCGCAAGGATTAAACAAACGTTAACATCGACAACGCCTAAAATAGTCTAAGTGTCTGTTTGCTATCTTTTTTTTAGAAAGAAAGATATTTTTAACTTTCAGGCTAACGGTAATAAATATTTTAAACGTAGCAGTATTAACAAGCTTGCTGTATGCTTTACATACATAGGGACCACCCTGTATTCTGGTCCTGGCAAAATAAAAACCGCAATCAAAGACAACGGAATAGAAACTGGCGTCGATTCACGCGCACCACTCACCTCGTTAATATGCTTGTAGGTCTTGATGAGGTCGACGCTGAGCTTCCGTAGAGGCGCCGACGCCGAGTCCCTGAAGGTGGGCGGTATCCTGGCCTGCATGGCCTGGATGTCCGTCGAGGAGGAATTGGAGATGGCCGAGGGCGGCACTGCGCCCAGGCTGTCATCGGACACCAGCCGTCCATAGAGGGGCACGTGCCGCCGCTGGTGGGTCAACGTGGTGCCGTCCCCACCGCCGCCGGTCGCCACTGGCACTGCAAAACAGAAACGCACGGTATAAGACCGCATTGTTCAAATATTGTTTTTTTAACGGACCTTTTCCATTTTTACTTTGTAAGGAATTACTTTCAAATCGGAACTCTGACGTTAAACTCAAAATGGCAACTTTGAACTCGGAATTCAGAGTTCAAAGTCAGAATTCAAATGGGAGTTCCGAGTTCAAAGTCGGAAATTTGAGTTTTAATACATTTCTTACTGTTACTTAGTAGGGAATTACTTTAAAATCGGAACTCGGAATTGCAACTTTGAACTCGGAATCCAGAGTTCAAAGTCAGAATTCAAATGGAAATTCCGTGTTCAAAGTCGGATATTTGAGTTTAAATACATTTTTACGTAGTAAGGAATTGCTTTACAATCGGAATTGCAACTTTGAACTATGAATTCAGAGTTCAAAGTCATAATTCAAATCGGAATTAAGAGTTCAAAGTTGAAAATTTGAGTTTAAATACATTTTTTAATTTTACTTAGTAAGGAATTACTTTAAAATTGGAACTCTGAGATTCAACTCGGAAGTGCAGCTTTGAACTCGGAATTCAGAGTTCAAAGTCAGAATTCAAATCGAAATTCCGTGTTCAGTCGGAAATTTGAGTTTAAATACATATTTTACTGTTACTTAGTAAGGAATTACTGTAAAATCGGAACTCTGAGATTCAACTCGGAAGTGCAACTTTGAACTCGAAATTCAGAGTTCAAAGTCGGAAATTTGAGTTTAAATACATTTTTTTTACTTTTAATTAATAATGAATAACTTTGAAATCGGATTTCGGACTTTGAATACTTTGATCTCAGAATGAACTCATTTTCCAAATACTGTCGTTTTTTTAACGAACCTTTCCACTTTACTTACAAAGGAATTACTTTAAAATCAAAATTCTGACATTGAACTCAAAGTTACAACTTTAAACTCGGAATTTGGTCAGAATTCACATCGGAGTTTGGAATGTGAATTCCCAATTTAATGTCGAAATTCGAAGTTTAAAATATGTAATTCCCAATTTTAAGTCAAAATTCCAATTTTGAAATATGAATTTCCAGCTTAAGGTAAATTAGAATGACCATCACTCATATCTGGACCCGCCTTAACGTAAATATAAAGACCGGAGTACTGTAACGCGACTACAATATACAGTTTTCTAAAAGACAGAAGATATTTTGTGACATCACCACTAACAGCCGACAAGTGAGTACATTATAGGTCGTTAGTGACGTCCGCGATCTAGGCTTAATAAATAAGCGTCCTCGTCTTCGTCGCGACGTCCCGGCCCTCTCCAGACGCATAAATACGGAACGGCGCTCGGGACTGCCCCCTCCGACGTCTTAGCTTCGGCGAGATGTAAATATTTATGGGCCACTCATCGGTCCGTAATCGGACAATGAGTCTCGGGGGTTTATCGAAAAGATGCTCGACATGGGCGCCGTTAATAGTAATAATAAAGGCGCCCACGAGGGGGAATGGGGGCGGCAAGTTTAAAATATCAAAATGCATAATCTAATGCTTGGTCTGTGAGCAAATCGTACTTGACATGAAAACTTTACATTCAATCGTGATATATCGTTTTTACTTACTATACTTTTAAAGTCGAAGTTTTAATGTCTGAATTATGACTTCAAACTGAAATGTCAGCTGATACTATTTATTGGTATGAATTTCGACTCTAAATTCGGAATTCATACTTTACAGTCAGAATTCCGAATTTAAAATAGGAATTCTGAGATTAAAGTCAGAATTCCGAGTTTAAAGTCGAAATTTTAATGTCTGAACTATGACATCAAACTGAAACGTCAGCTGATACTATTTTTTGGTATGAATTTCGACTCTAAATTCGTATTTCAAACTTTAGTCAGAATTCCGAATTTAAAATATGAATTCTGAATTTAAAGATAAAATTATTAGTATAAAGTCAGAATTTCCGAGTTTTAGAGTCGGAGTTACGAGTTTTAAAGTCGAAATTCTGAGATTAAAGTCAGAATTCCAAGTTTATGGTCGAAATTTTAATGTCTGAATTATGACATCAAACTGAAACGTCAGCTGATACTATTTTTTGGTATGAATTTCGACTCTAAATTCGTATTTCAAACTTTAGTCAGAATTCCGAATTTAAAATATGAATTCTGAATTTAAAGATAAAATTATTAGTATAAAGTCAGAATTTCCGAGTTTTAGAGTCGGAGTTACGAGTTTTAAAGTCGAAATTCTGAGATTAAAGTCAGAATTCCAAGTTTATGGTCGAAATTTTAATGTCTGAATTATGACATCAAACTGAAACGTCAGCTGATACTATTTTTTGGTATGAATTTCGACTCTAAATTCGTATTTCAAACTCAAAATTCTGATAATAAAGTCAGAATTCCGAGTTTAAAGTCGTTAAAGTAGAACTTTCCTCTTTAAAGTGGAAACTTTCAATTTAAAATCGGAATTACGAGTTTTGATGTCGAAATTCCGAGATCAAAGTCAGAATTCCGAGTTTAAAGTCGAAATTTTAATGTCTGAATTACGACATCAAACTGAAACGTCAGTTGATACTATTTTTTGGTATGAATTTCGACTCTAAATTCGGAATTCATACTTTACAGTCAGAATTCCGAATTGAAAATAGGAATTCTGAATTTAAAGATAAAATTCTTAGTTTAAAATCAGAATTCCCGAGTTTTAGAGTCGGAGTTACGAGCTTTAAAGTCGAAATTTGAATGTCTGAATTATGACATCAAACTGAAACGTCAAATGATACTATTTTTTGGTATGAATTTCGACTCTAAATTCGGAATTCAAACTTTACAGTCAGAATTTCGAATTTATAATAGGAATTCTGAATTTGAAGATAAAATTCTTAGCTAAAAGTCTGAATTCCTAGTTTAAAGTAGAAATTTCAGGTTTAACTTTTACTATGTCTGTCTTGAAAAAGTGCAAATACTTATCAAATCAAGCCCTGTCAACTTTCACTGATGCGTATATACCTTCGTTTCAATTACAACGAATTTGCAATTATTCATATCACAAAAGGAGAAAAACTTTTTCAAAATATTGTACCTAAAACCATGAAAACGTTTAACAGAAACATAAGGGGGACAATACCTTGAATGATCTACACATTTAATACATTTTTATCACATTTTATCTCAGAAAATTATCAAACCGAAACGTCAGATCAATAGCTGATACCATTTCCTGGTACTCGTATCATTTATACGATTTTATCGCTGGTCATTAATTTCTCCCCTTTATATCTGAGTAAACTGACGCAGAAGCCTTAAGCTTTTCGTCGCGCGTGTCGAAATCATAGATTACAAATTAACGGTTAATTAATACAAAGTCCAGTTGTTAAAATTATAAAGGGATATGCACACGGCCCCAACAGTCCGCGAGCACCAAGCAGAAAGCGAAAACTAGACGTTGCTGTGCGGTAAAAACGTCTTTATTGTTGCCATGGAAACAGAAAACTGACTAACTTTCGCAGACTTGATCTGTACCGATGCGATATGTTGAGGGATAATCAGGGTTCCAAGAACAATTTATGTGTGTGATAGTGCCGGCCTAGGTGTACACGACGCATTTTTTCGCTTGTTGTTCTGTACAGATTTTTACAAATCAGGATGAACGGTCAAAAAATATCGATGGCCTAGTAACCGTATCGGGTGCGTCATATTCGCGATAAGTCTTATACTTATCGTCATTTCGCGAAATAAAATCTAATAACCGTCTAAATGTGCCGTATCATTGTTTATTGGCCTTGGAAAATGTCTCAAGACCACTCCGATATTTGCAGAGTCTCGTTACTAATCGAAAATATAATTTTGTCAGGAGGAAACTTCTCCCAGAATATCCCTTCGGTATTTTTGGCGTTATGCGGAAAATTTTAGATTTATTCGCCGACGCGGATTCAAATTTGGACTACCTACGAACATGTTATTTGGAAACCGCGAATACGAAAACACCTCCCATGCAGTTTCTGCGAAAGTAAATAAATTATTAATCAGGCTAAACTTATTTGCAGTTTCGCATCTGCGTCATTTCCATGTTTGTTTTGCCGGTTTTAATGCCGATTTCGTATCAAACAAAGGAAGCAATAAAAACTTCCTACGTATCGCCAATTTTCGCAGAACAATGCAATTTAATTGTTTGAGTTGTTTTTCGTCAAACGGCGTTCGTTTGCGTAAGTGTTTCAAGAAATACGGCAAAAATTTGGTAAAACTTTATTCAGGATACGGTATTCAACTATTAAGGCGCAAAAGGTCCACCCTAAATTTTTTTTTTAAGTCGGAAGTTCGATTTTAAACTAGAAATTACGATTTAAAACTCAGATTCAGATTATAAGCTGGGAATTCATACTTTAAGACACAATTCCGAGTTTTACTGGCGGAATTTCTAACTTTAAAGTCAGAATTACAAGTTTTAAAGTCGAAATTATGAATTAGAATGTCGGAATTCCAAAATTAAAATTAGAATTTCGAAAATCCAAGTCCAAAGACTGAATTACGAGTTTTAAAATGGACCACCCCGCTCGTCGGTACACCTGACCACCGTCCGACGTGTCGCATCGACCTACCTGCCGCGGGGGCGGCGTGGCCCAACCGCCGCAAGGTTCTTCTCGTTGCGCCGAGAACGAGAAGTTCCCGAATGCAGGTGGGAAGCTGACGTATCGATCCGGAAGCGAAAGAGGAAGCAAGCACACGTCTGGCCAACGGCAGATTCTCTCTCCCGTCGCCGTCGCCGCCGCCGCCGCCGCCAGAGTCTTTCGCTCCTTGCCGCCACCATTCCCAGTCTTGCGTCAGACGCGTAAGTCCATTGCAGCACTCTTGTACCGCGTTTTCCGAGACGCCGTACTTGACCGAACACCATGAAATAATTAAGCCTCACAAGAAAACACCACGAACGCGTTCATAATCGTGTAGAACGAGCTTTACAGAAGGTATACGAATCACAGAAAATGTAAACCGGCCGTTTGATTTCATCCAACCGTTTCCGGTGTTCTTGGAT